CCAGTCTTGGGACGTACTTCCAATGGTGAAAGGTGTTATTTAAATGTAATTTTGTTACTGTTGTTGTTGTTATCCAGAATGGTAAGTTAGGGTGAGATCTCTGCAACAAGATAGGGCTTGCCTAGGGAAACCCTGTGTTGGACGTCCTTTGCTAAATTGATTGGATGCCTTTTGGTGTATCCATCTTCAATAAGGAGCCCGGAGGTTGCTTGCATCCACGCCATGGCCTCCTGCCCTATCCTGACACAGGATAGGGTGGGAGGTGGGGCATGAGGCTGAGGCACAGCCCTCCAATAGGCCTTTGTGATGCATCTGAGCATGTGAGCCCAACCTGCGCCAAGCGCCCGCACCAGTCACAGAATAGGGCGGGAGGCTCCTGCAATGCAAAACACCATTTTATTGGACAAGTTATCCAAATTAAATACTTACAAGAATTTCTGGAATTGGACGAGTTGCATGTTAACCAGAGTGACAAGTAAAGTAAAGTCCCATATTAACATTTTGCTTCAGAAGCTGCCAGGATATTGACAGCACGGTGGCTTAAGTGGCAGTGACAAGTTAAGGCAGGGTCTTGTTATCAGGAGTTTGCTGTCACTGCACTGGCCAAGTGGAATTGATTGATTGAAAAGATAACACAAAGGGTTCACAAGTTCAAAATGTAATATCTATTTCTGAAGCACCTTAATATGTGAATAATGTGTATTAACTGACTAAGATAATAGTAGCTGACCATGTTTTAAAATCTTGGTTTTTGCTGAAATGTCATTTCTAGAGCAAGGCATAACTATTTCTGTGGGGTGATTTATTCTGTATTGAGGGCAGCATGTCTTCCTTCATTCAATATCTTGGTTTTATGACATTAAATATTTCATTGGTGATAGGTGTTTGCATTCTATTAAAAAATGATCATGAGCTTAGAATTTTAATATAATTTGAAGGTCCTTCTGTACTTTTTTTTGTGTGAACCTCAAAGCAAGAATTATTCATGAGAAATGGCAATTGGAAATCTCCATTATAGTAAATTGTACACTATTTTTGATTGAAAAAAATGTAGCAAGGAATTTAAACTGGCTCCCTCTTATGGCAGTTAATTTCCTGGTTTAAGTACATGATGAGGGTGTAGAATTCACGCAGATGCCATTGGCAAGTAGAAACTGAAGCTTAAACTAACAATTTTCTTGGTCAATTGGATGATTGACATGTGCAGGAACCAATCACAGTGCTTTAAGAGTATCCAAAACAGAGAGATCCACATATGTATGCCATGTACCTACACATAGAAATTTTCTTGTGTCTAGAATGAAATGTGAACCCTCTTCGTAAAAAGGTGAAACCTGCTTATCTAATTCTGGAGAGTATTATGCGCAATTTGGCGAGAGCAAAGTCTTGGAGATCCCAGACTGCAGTTGGGTAATGCTTGAGTATAACCAGCTAAATGCTTGCCATCGAAAGCATTGTCTAGCAAGCTTTTTGCTGCAAATACACCTTTTATGTGGGGAAGAGGTCTCAAAGCACTTCAAGAGATCTACTATAAAGTATAATGACTGGATTTTGTAGATGGATGCGGCAGCCAGTTTGTGCACAGCAATGTCCACCAACAGCCATGACATGAACGAACAATTTTATTTCAGGGATTGTTGGCTAGGACACCGGGATAAACGTCCTTCTCGTTTTGAACAGTGCCATGCAATCTTTAACATCCACCTGAACAAGCAGATGAGACCTTGGTTTAACACCTCATCCGAATGTTAGCGATGAGGGACCATTTCCCTACATTTTTTCTATACCTTTAATTATCTATTTCTCAAGTATCATGCTTTTAAACATACCAATTGATTCTGTCTGTAAAGCCTTTTGGGACAGTACATTGCATATTTTCAGAACTGTGTGTGCGAGAGAAGAACATTTTTTTAGGAAGAAATTGAATATGTTAAGAAGAGTTCATGATACGCAGTTCTACTTGGTCTCGGAATAATAGGAAATCGATGAGACAAATTACCAATTCATGTTCAACTCCTCCTTATCTTCATGAAACTATTTAAGCAGGGCCACCCTTATAAATACATTTGTACCCAGACAGAATTTTGATAAAGTATTCATATCCATGATGTTACATAAGGAATAATGGAGAAATTGCACGAGAAAAAAATATTAACTGCACATGATTGAATGATGCTATCTCAAAGTATTTTATTCAATCCATTCAAAAATGGAACATTTAGTATTGATTACAGAGAGCCATATTTACCAGCAGAATTAGTTTCTAAGAAAGTCTGATTCTCAGTATTGTGTTCCTCAATTGCTTGCAGACATGGAGGGCACACTTTTTAATGAATGAACTTGTGCTTTCCAAGGAGGTACCTTTTCAAGCCTCAGTTTAGACTTGCGAAGATAGGGTACACAATTCAACTGCATGCTAATCGTCTAGACTGGAACCTTTAGAGCTAATGTCATTCCAGGAAGCAACTACAAGTTAATGAGATCTCTGAATTTAAAGACACGAGTTGAATGCTACCACAGAATACACTTTCTTTTCACACCTTTGCAAACTCATGAAGACTGCTTATTTATCAACATGCTCAGTTATTCTATCCCTGATAAAAGAATCTAGGCATTTTATTCTATGCACTACCAACCTGGTACCTGGTGCTCACATGAATTCACGTGGGACTAACTAGATTGGACAAACGGGATTGTGTTGGTAACCCTGGCAAATTTTCCTACCGCCACCTCCCAAGAGAATGTTTATTTTAATGTCCTATATCTATTTCTGCTGACATTGTATAGCTGACCAAGCACAAGGAATCAAATCTGATTTTGTCTGAATAGCTTCACACCATAATAATAATAATCCTTGCATTTGATATAGCGCTTTTCACGTCGGGATGACATCCCAAAGCGCTTCACAGAACACACTGTAAAGTGAATTGACTGTATATTTGTGGGCGAACGCAGCAGCCAATTGCGCACAGCAGTGTCCCACAAACAGTCGTAGATTGAAAATGACCAATTTTTTATTATTATTGTTTTTGGTTTTGGAGGGATTATTATTAGGCTCTGTGTGGAGTAAGGAAACTTGCCCAAGGTTTCGCCCTCTGCCTGGAATTGAACTCAGGTCTCTCGCTTGCAAAGCGAGTGCTCTAACCACTGAGCTACAGGACTCCACCATAAAATGTTCTTTCACAATTGAGTCACGGGGAGAGTAAGTTCTGCATTTTCTATTCATTGGGGTTTAATTTGTTATAAGCATGAAGCAGTACCTGTACGTAAATAATAAAATCCAGATGTGTTGCAGGTGACCGACTGAAATTCAGTTTGGACACTGACTTCACAGAAGTTGAAATTGAGATGGGCGTATGAGCAGTGTTCTAGATAATTGGTTGTGACATGCACAGGATTTTCTCATTACAAATCCTCTTTAAAAAAATTGTAAATTAGATGCTGTTGCAGAGATCTCTACATTCCATTACAGAAGTGTTTTGTTGGTGTGTATACCTTGATTGGCTGTAATATTTTGGCTGAGTGAACAAAACGGTTGGAAGAATTAATGTAAAAAAATACTTTCATTTCAGGTTCCTTAGATTTCAGTTTTTTAAATAAACTCTAGAATAGTCCAGAAGAAATTCATCTCTTACTGACGTGTGGATTGTACAATATAAACCACCTATGTACTTAAAGGTGTTATCTTTTTACTTCCACAACAATAAATATGAATTTGAAAATAGACTGGTAAGTTGCCTGATGCGTGTGCATCTATCTTATCGTGTCACTCGGCACACAAATAAAATACTTTGCCGTGACTAGATTATTCCAGTATTGCAAGCAAAACTCTGCCATGCAAGATGGGAGATTTAAGTTCTTTGAGTCATTTTAATTGCTACCAAATTATGATACACATAGTATGCAATAAACACATGGTGTCATGTAAGGTACTCCCAAATGGAGAAAACTTATCAAAAATCTTTGTTGTTGAGAAAAATCTTTGTTTTGATTGTCTTTACTTGCAGCCTGTTGAAGGACCACCACATCGGTTCCTAAAGCTGGACAAGAATTGTCAGAAAGCAACTGTTTTCTGTTTTTTTTTCACTCACATGGCATTTGCTGTTGATAAGGTCAAAATGAAGACAGATTGGAGAGATTTCTTAGGGCAGCACTGTAAATTGGAAGTACTTTATCCTGAAAGATGTACTTAATAGTTTTTGTTCCCAGAGGTACAGAGACTTCAGGCATGTGATCAAATTTCAGTTACTAATAGTTGTTTTGGTAGCAGAAACTTTCAATGTTAACATGTCATTTTATAACTCTTGTAATTGTCTGTCATCAGCTTTTTTCTTTAGTGGCCATTCTAAGATAATGCAGAAATAATCTGATCACCTTCAGAATAGAATACCAAAATCTACATTGAATGATAATAATAATTACATTGAGGGAGAAGTGTTTGAATACACAGTATTGCCATAAAACCAAATAAAGTCACTTGATAATTATGGTAATTGTGAGCATTTGTCCTCATAAATTTCTATTCTTTGATAAGGGTTACTATAAAACAGAAATAATTTGATCTTTTTGAGAATTGAAATATGCCTCATAAAATTAAAACAGAAGAAAAGTGACTCTAAGGATTGGAGATTCATTTTTAACTATCCTTGAAGGTCACCCTCTACTGCTCTCGGCCAGAGTTGGCCCACTAAGTATACAGTCAATTCACTTTACAGTATATTCTGTGAAACGCTTTGAGAGTCTCGAAGACATGATAGGGCACTATATCAAATGCAAGGATTATTATTATTTATCAAAAATAAACTTTGACTTTTTTGTGTGAAGTTGATTCTGTGAGAATCTTATTTCTAGATTACTCTCAGTGAAAAGAAAAAACTATATCAATGCCAAATTTGCTTCAGGGGAGCACAACATCAAATTTATGACGTGTTAAATTGGAGATGGTAATAATTTTCAGTCTAATATTTGTGATTTGTTCCCTTTTTTGGCCTATTTTTCAGAACAAGATCATTTTGGATCCCATGCACTTCAGTGAACAGCGTTACAGGCCATCTCTGGAGGAGAGGTTAGAAAGTATTATCAGTGGGGCTGCACTGATGGCAGATTCTTCATGCACGAGGGATGACCGTCGAGAGAGAATTGTGGCTGAATGTAATGCTGTGCGACAAGCCCTTCAGGATCTCCTCACTGAATACATGAATAATGTAAGTTATACAAAACTAATACAATGTGGGCCACTTGACCCCTCATATCTGGATTCCATACAGTCCTTTTTTTGTAGAACTACATGAGCTGGTTTCTAAGCATTTGAAATTATTAGCATTAATTTATTTGTGAGAATATGAATAATGCAACTGGAAAGTTTCTCCTCGTGGCTCCACAAGAGGTGGATAACAGAGTCATGCAATTGCTAGTTGCTGAATGCTGTTTTTTTGACAAAGTATATATGAATTAATAGTAGTTCATGATGTAGGTTATCAAAAGTGACACATTTAATGAAATTGATCACAGCTCCACAAGCGTTTTTGATTTGTTTTTCATAGATGTCTTTTTATTTGGAATAATTTTGCCGTGTTTTCAATTATTGGTTAGTATCAGAAAAATGAAATAGAACAACTCTGATCAACAGCACCAAATAAGCAGCTCAGAAAATGTAATTTTATTTATGTGGTTCAGGTTTAAGAGTATAGATTCTGTGTAGTGCTTGTTAGAGGTTTGTGATCTTGTGCTTCAAAGGAAAATTTAACATGCTCTTGTAATGACTCTGAGAAGGTAAGTTTGTGTTCTTGTGTCTGATCTGATTTCATTAATGTTTGCTTATTTCATTATAACTACTTGCATCAGATGGAGTTTTTTGAATGGAGACCTGCAGAAATACCCTTATATTTGTGGCAACCTGGATATCTTTAGTCATCAAATTATCAAAATTTTGACCACCTCATTAATGATGTTAAAATATGAGTTTTAATGTTGTATCCATTCATCTGAGATTCGGGATGACGTGGTGGCATCATTGGAGTCCTCTGATAGCCTAATATTAGACAAAAGGAACTACAGGTCTTTTATGCAACTATGGTGTTATAATTGTTGTTTGTACTTGCAAACTATCTGTAATTCAATCGTGACTTTATTTCTTACGAAAATAAAAGCCAGAATATATAGGCATTTGTGATAATGTTTAGGTTGAGCTGGTTTTCTAAAAGCAACTATCTTTGTCAGTATAAATTCCAATTCTGCAGGAGTAACTTCTCATTGCTTTGTTTCATTCAGAAAATGTAATTGAGCATGTAAACTCCATAGCACTGTATGTTTTAGGTTCATACTGATACATATACATTTGTCTCTCGTACTTTCTTTCATAGTTGTCCCATTTAACCACAGACGTGTGAGCGTAGCTACCAACTGATTGACCATTCTTGCAAACTTAATGCATTTTCTGTTCTTATATCGAAGGGAGTTAAGAATGTTGAGCATAAGATCACTGCTGCATTTTTATTCACTGTGCAAGTCCTAATTACAGAGTTGAAGCTGTTGTTTTTGATTGCATTAACATGAAGAGATCACTAAAATGGAGGCTTTCCTGAGCAATCAGTAATGGGTCATTAAATCAGCTAATTTATAAAAGGTTAACCAAGATTTTGAAAAATGTATTAAGTCTGCATGGAACCAATCAAGTCACTCTGAATTCTGATCACAGCTTTAGCAATGATTAACTAGAGAAAGATGATATGGACTTTTGAAATCAAAACACTAATCAATGCTAATGGAGTCTTCTAGTGGTGCGGAGTGCATAGAAGACATACCATTATTAGCTTGAAGTGGGACAATTTTCAAAATGCTTCCTCTTAGGAAAATGAATTTTCGGATCAGATACACTAAAATAACTTTAAATAACAGCGGCCAGCCTTTCTGTTTTCATATTCCAATGCTACACATTCAAAGCAGAACAGTGAAAGAATCCAGGAGTCCAATTTCACCAATGAACAAAACCTTTGTCCGCAGAAGTTGTAAGGCAGTTAAAGCTCTAGATGGCAATGTTGAATAAGTTCAAAGATGCAATATTTGTAGGGGAGATTAATAGTGTTGTTTTGCTGGAGTACTGTAGTTTTTGATAGGCCTATGCACATAAAGAACTCTTTTATTCCATAGAGTGAAGTGCCATTTTGCCACAATCAGCCACGCATGATGAAATTTCCATTAATTTCCAGCAGACCTTTTCAAAATGCTCAAAAGATATTGGATTTGGAAGGAAATTGCCTCACATGATAGTAAAAATAAGGAGAAGGGGGAACTGTGTAGCCTTGTGAACTAGAAACACACTTTCACCTCGGGAATTGGAGTCAGAATCTTGGAATTTTAAACTTGTCACTTCATCAGCAGGATAATAATGAACAAAATTGTTTCACTATTGAGCACTAACTTTCCTCACCAGAACAAAACAATACAAAATTACATTTATATAGTGCCTTTCACATCGGGATAGTCAGGAATTTGGACCCAAGCAAATTTTGGACCCCCAAAAAACTGCTGTGCGCAAATGGCTGCCACATTTCGCCCACAAATATAGTCAATTCACTTTACAGTCTATTCTGTGAAGCTCTTTGAGACGTCGAGAAGACGTGAAAAGCGCTATATCAAATACAAGGATTATTATTATTAAGCAGTGGGATTGGGATCAGGGAGGGTGGAAGGCAGTGAGGGTGGACAGCAGGGAGGGTGGCCGAAGGTGCGGTTGAAGCTAGGCGAAGGGAATTTGGGATGGAGTTCCAAAGGGTGGGGGTAGAGAAGCTGAAGGTCTGACTGCCGATGGTGGCACGGACCGGGTGGGGGATGTGGAGCAGGCTGGAGCTTGCTGAGCGGAGGGAGCGGACAGGTTGACATGGGGATAGCAGGTCACAGAGGTAGGAAGGGGCAAGGCCGTGGAGGGCTTTGAATGCGAGGACGAGGATTTTGAACTCTATCCTCTGGGGGATGGGGAACCAGTGGAGCCGGGTGGGGTTGATGGGGTCATGGCCTTGTGCGGAAGAGTTGTCAAGCTGCAATTCAATAAATTAAAATGTAAGTGGACAACCTAGTACTGCAACATTTTAGAGCATGAATGTGCAGTGCCTTGGTCTTATCGGATGCAGTGGAGAAGGAATATTGGAAGGTGATCACAGTTAGCCTGTTGTCACTCACCATTTGAGTCCGTTCATAGTTGTATTGGGGGAAGTCTGCAACAGGTTTCTCATTATCTGTGCTTTAAGCATTATACAGAACATGCAGGACAAGTACATATGCAAGTGGCAGGGGCAATAGATCAATTGGACAAAAAAGAGGGAGATTAAGAAAAAAATTACAAAGATTATAAGGTAAGGTAGAGAGTGAACATTGGGCTGAACACAAGATTATAGGAAATGGTTTAAAAACAATTAGTGGAACCAAAAGAACTGGAAAAGGACAAGGCAGCAAATCCAAAGAATTATTTCAAAATTCTAACAGTAAGAGGGTAGTCAAGGAAGAAGTTAAAACCTTAAGTGACATAAAGGGGATGAAAAAGAGAATGAATAGAGGGAAACAAATATAATAAGGGACTACTTCTTGGATATTTTTTATGTATCATGGCGACATTAAAAACATGCCACCAAACTTCAGCAAACATAATTTGAGATCTATGATATTGACGTTTGTGAGAGTGAGATTCTAGATAGGCTCAAGAAGCTAAAAACCAACAAATCTCCAGGATGGATGAATGGTAGCCCAGGGTAATAAAAAAAGAGACATGACAGTACATCTGTGAAATGTTGTGAGGGTAATAAATCACCATTGCTGGAAGCACAGAAACTTACAGGAGAAAATCTAAAAGCACTTTACAAAGACAGAGTAGGAGCCTGACTTAGGAGTGAGATGGGTGTGGGGTGGTAGAGGTGGGAGTAACCGTGATGTCAACAAGAGAAGCAGGTTTTAAAAGCAGAGAGGGAGGAGGCGAGGTGGAGGGATTTCTGAAGAGTGTTCCAGAGAGCAGCGACAAAGTAGCTGAAAGCTCACCTGATTGTGGAGTGGGTGGAAGCATGAAGCAGGCCAGAGTTTGTGGAGTGGAGAGAATTGTTGGGGAGGAGGGTAACAAGTGATCATAGAGGGAGGCTTGAGCAAGGTTGTAGAGGCTTTTGAAGGTAAGGATGAGCTTCATAAAATTGATCTGCTAGGTGATAAGTATCCAGTGGAGCGAATGTGGACTGCTGAGTTCTGGAATATCTGGACCTAGTGGAGGATAGAGTTGGAAAAATGAAGGCGGCGGTGTGAATGTTATGGGTAAGGGTTCAGGAAGGAAATCAAAGGGGGCAGCAAAAGTCTTATCAAGTTTTACATATCAAAATATGAAGTGAGAAGCAGAAATGAACAAGGCAAAAAGGATGCTGGGTTATATTACCAAATCATTTGCTCAAACTCTATAGTGTTCTTGCCAGGCTGCACGAGGAAGACTCCATACAATTTTGGTTGACACAATATAATGGGATTATGTTGCCTCCAGAGGTAGTGCAGAGGAGAGCAACGAGGATGATCCCCAGTGTTAGAGGAAATCTTCACCCTTGAAACGTGACATTTTATACTTTACAAGATTATAAATGGGATTGAGAAAGTAAACCAAAAAAATCCTTTAAAATATGTTGAGGTAGCATAATACGATAAACATGTAACCAAAAACAAGTCAGTCCAACATTCATAGTTGGCAAACATTTATAAATAATAGCTTTGGATAATATTAATAATTAATTACAATAACACGGGTTGATTAAAGACATCCATCACTGATTCGTTCAAGGTGACAAACGCAATAACCAAATATAGATAAAAGTAATGCTGTTGTTGTGATGCATATGGATTTTCAGTAGGCTTTTTTAAAAAAAATTCAGGTGTATGATATTAATGGAAATATTGCAACATGGATAGAAAAAGGGTTAAAGGGTAGAAATTAGGTTAAAGAATAGGAAGCAGAGTGGGAATTTATGATTATTTAGAATGGAAAGATGTAAATAGCAGTGTCCCCCCCAGGTGTTTGTGTTAGGACCACTCACCAAGTTTACATTGATATCCTGCGGTTTTGATCCTGATCAGCTGAGGGGATGGGCATCAAAGTTTTGGTGTCTCCTGTAGGAATGGAATGAGAAAAGAACATTCGGATTATGCAGCCCACTTCTTCCAATAAATTCTGTAAATGTTTTAC